ATTAACCCGATCAAATGCCTCTCAGATAAGAAGCTCTTAAGGAAAAATGGCAGATTGCATTGGAGACCTAAGATGTTATATCTCCAAGTAGTGTCACAAGCCTTCTCAAGATGAAAGAAAAAACTGCAATAACTGAGTTACTAGCAAATGCATCACGAGCATACGTATCTAAGTGGAGTAAGGGATCAATAGTAGAACGGTCTTTACGAAAACCATATTGACTAGTGGAGACTATTGTCTCTCTCAAAATACCACACCAAACATCTATGATAATACGGTAAAAATCCCAGATTTTCGTTCTGCCGATTATAATGGACTTAGGGAACACCTGTCAAATCTCGATTGGGGTTATCTAGCTAATGACTTTATTGACGATGATCATACTTATGATTACGAAGGGATCTGTTTTTATGATTTTTGTCTTAATAATGTACACCAGTGGTATTCATTGCGTGGCTCGCAAGCCGCTGGCGGCTTGCGATGACTCAATTCACGGCTCTCGAAAAATATATAAATTAATTAATAAAAAAAATATATAGAAAAATAATTTTTCAAGATACATATTTTCATGAGGTGAGATGGAAGACGAAGTTACAGTAAGAGATAACATTCTAAAATCCCTACCCTAGTCGTACAGAAATCATACGTGTCCACTACGGGAAACTGATCAGGGACACGTCTAGCTCTAGGCGTCGGTGGTCTCGCTGAATCAGTCGAGTTCAAGCTTTTGGGGGATTATTATTATTATTATAATCAAGGGGGAAGCGCTAAACCCGGAGGATTATACAGCACCTGGGGGGGGGGATGTGGAAGGCATTCAGGCTTAATTCGGGGAACTGGAGCACAGATCCAATTCCCTAAATCAAGAGCCCCTCACCAACATCAAGGAACCTTCCTTGAGGGGATCAAGCTTTCGGGGAAGACTGGACGTATTTCATTACTCTTGGAGATTTGTGTTTGAAAATAGGCAACAGATATTTGAGACTGCAGCAACATATATGAAAGTAACGACTTAACTGTTGCTGCTTGTGGAAGCTAGCTGCGATGGGCTAGTTTTACTTGAAACCAAAGTGCAGTCAAGTAGTGTCCGTTATGATGGATCGATTTGTGGTTAAACAAAAATGCAATAGTGATGAACAGCCATCCCAGACCCGACCAGTAGAAAAGGAGCATTAAGTAAGTATGGTCTTTATTTTGCTATTAATAACAAGATATGCAGGCTAGTGTTACCATGTCTAATTTTTCTCATTTACTATATTGCACTAGCAGCTCAGTACTACTTAATTTAGTTGAGTTACGTTAACTTGCAGTAGCTGCGGCTCTCTCAATCAATGTGGTTAACCGAAGTGGCTCTCTTGCAAAAATTAGTGAATAACACTGATGTACACCATGCTCAGAGTATATACATTCCCCAGAGAGAAATTGGGTCTAATAATAGCAATCCCAAATGGGTTAACAGGAGGCTAAAGCATCTATTAGTGGAGAAAAGGGGAATTTATAGGTACATCAGAAGAGGAGTTAGTTTAATATGTTTATTATGCACCCCATACCCATCCTGTGGGCAGCAGTCAAAAGATTACAAAGGTACATAATGGGTCCAGGGACTGGACCCCAAAGTTGATAGCTGAACTAGTTACAAAGGTAATGAACTCCAGGAAGATCTGGTCACAATCATGGCAAGTTACAAAGGTAATGAATCAGCCTCACTCCTATACATGGTTACAGTCATGAACAAATTACAAAGTAATGAACCACTGATACGTCCACACCTGGTCACAAATGCAATGAGTTAAAAATACAAATATTACCTGGAGTTTACCTGGAGAGAGTTCCGGGGGTCAATGTCCCAGCGGCCAGGTCTGCGACCAGGCCTTCCAGTGGATCAGAGCCTGATCAGCCAGGCTGTTACTGCTAGCTGCACGCAATCCAACATACGAGCCACAGCCCGGCTGGTCAGGTACCGACTTTAGGTGCTTGTCCAGTGCCAGCTTGAAGACTGCCAGGGGTCTATTGGTAATCCCCCTTATGTATGCTTGGAGGCAGTTGAACAGTCTTGGGCCCTTGACACTTATTGTATTGTCTCTTAACATGCTAGTGACACCCCAGCTTTTCATTGGAGGCATGTTGCATCGTCTGCCAAGTCTTTTGCTTTTGTTGTGAGTGATTTTCGTGTGCAAGTTCGGTACTAGTCCCTCTAGGATTTTCCAGGTGTATATAATCATGTATCTCTCCCGCCTGTGTTCCAGGGAATACAGGTTCAAGAACTTTAAGCGCTCCCAGTAATTGAGGTGTTTTATCTCCGTTACGCGCGCTGTGAAGGTTCTCTGTACATTTTCTAGGTCAGCAATTTCACCTGCCTTGAAAGGTGCTGTTAGTGTGCAGCAATATTCCAGCCTAGATAGAACAAGGGACCTGAAGAGTGTTATCATGAGCTTGACATCCCTAGTTTTGAAGGTTCTCATTATCCATCCTGTCATTTTTCTAACAGCTGCGATTGATATAGTTTTATAGTCCTTGAAGGCGAGATCCTCCGACATGATCACTCCCAGGTCTTTGACATTGGTTTTTCGCTCTATTTTGTTGAAGGAATTTGTTTTGTACTCTGATGAAGTTTTCATTTCCTCGGGTTTATCATATCCGAGTAATTGAAATTTCTCATCGTTGAACTTCATATTGTTTTCTGCAGCCCACTGAAAGATTTGGTTGATGTCCGCCTGGAACCTTGCAGTGTCTGCAATGGAAGACACTGTCATGCAGATTCGGGTGTCATCTGCAAAGGAAGACACGGTGCTGTGGCTGACATCCTTGTCTATGTCAGATATGAGGATGAAAAACAAGATGGGAGTGAGTACTGTGCCTTGTGGAACAGAGCTTTTCACCATAGCCGCCTCAGACTTTGCTCTGTTGACTACTACTCTTTGTGTTCTGTTTGTAAGGAAATAATAGATCCATCTACCAACTTTTCCTGTTATTCCTTTAGCATGCATTTTGTGCGCTATTACGCCATGGTCACACTTGTCGAAGGCTTTTGCAAAGTCTGTATATATTACATCTGCATTCTTTTTGTCTTCTAGTGCATCTAGGACCTTGTCATAGTGATCAAATAGTTGAGACAGACAGGAGCGACCTGCTCTAAACCCATGTTGCCCTGGGTTGTGTAAATGATGGGTTTCTAGATGGGTGGCAATCTTGCTTCTTAGGGCCCTTTCAAAGATTTTTATGATATGGGATGTTAGTGCTATCGGTCTGTAGTTCTTTGCTATTGCTTTACTGCCCCCTTTGTGGAGTGGGGCTATGTCTGTTGTTTTTAGTAGCTGTGGGACGACCCCCGTGTCCATGCTCCCTCTCCATTGGATGGTAAAAGCTCATGATAGAGGCTTCTTGCAGTTCTTGATGAACACGGAGTTCCATGAGTCTGGCCCTGGGGCAGAGTGCATGGGCATGTCATTCATCGCCTGTTTGAAGTCATTTGGCGTCAGGATAACATCAGATAGGCTTGTGCTAACCAAATTCTGTGGCTCTCTCATAAAAAATTAATTTTGATCTTCGACTCTCAGTCTGGTTAGCAGCTTGCTAAAAACTGAGTCATATTGGGACTTGAGTAGCTCACTCATTTCCTTGCTGTCATCTGTGTAGGACCCATCTTGTTTAAGTAGGGGCCCAATACTGGACGTTGTTCTCGACTTTGATTTGGCATAGGAAAAGAAATATTTTGGGTTTCTTTCGATTTCATTTATGGCTTTTAGTTCTTCCCGCAATTCCTGTCTCCTATAAGATTCCTTTAGCATAAGTTCGATGTTTGCTATTTCTCTGACCAGTGTCTCCCTACGCATTTCAGATATATTGGCCTCTTTGAGCCGTTCTGTTATTCTTTTTCGTCGCCTGTAAAGGGGGGCACCTGTTTTTTTCTTTTTTACATCTACCCCTCCTTTTTCTTAAAGGAAAAGCCTTTGAGCATACATCGAGTGCCACCGATTAATTGTTCTAGGCATAAGTTGGGGGTCTGTGTTGCTTGTATACTTCCCAGCTTAATCTTTAGGACTTGGTTTATTTGGGGCCCCATTTTAAATTTTCTTATTATTAAAGTTAAATTTTGGGTAAAGGGGTTCCCTTTCTGACTATTCATTATGTAGTTGGGCTCCACGCTCATTCTGAACCTTGATTATGTTTGTGATTGAAATATTGTTTTTTATATGGGGACATTTACAAACATCATTTTTAGTAAGATGAGGTCTGGGGATCTCCCTCAGAAACTCATTATTGTGGTTTTTAAATTGAATTTTGTGCAGAATTTAAAAGCTCGTGTGTGTGAATTTCGCAGAGCTGCCTCCTGGGTTATCACTGCAAAAACATATTTGCTATATTCCTTCATTTTAGGGCCTTAAGTTTAAATCCCCCCCGGGGCAAAATGTTGGGGCAGGGGCTGGCGTTTTCCAGAAGTGGTCAATTTTTTAAAAGCCGATCCCGGAATTGCGGGGCGTTGCATCCGGAGGGGTGTAAAAACACAATGCTAGGGTTTTTTTTCTCGATCTTTCGCAAAACTTCCACTAACATTTTAGGGTTAAGCAGTTTTTGCAAAAAAAGTACTCTGCGATATTTTTCAGGCTAACCCCCCCCCCCCCCTTTTGCCTGTTCACTTGTGCATTTGTAAGGTTTTTTTAAACCCGGGATCCATATTTGTTGTCTAAGTTTCCTTTTTTGGGTCTTTTGAAGCCGTGAACATTTCATTTGCCCTTTCAAGCAGTTCCGGATGAAAGGTATTTTGTTTTTCATTGTGGCTTTGCCCTGTATATTTGCAAAAGAAAAAATGTCCGATGTGGTTTGTGGTACTTGGGGGGGTTTTTTTTTCTGGCACATATTATAGTGGTAACGGTGGGAGTGATGGTGGTAAAAAGGGGGTAGCATTGTGAAGTGGTAGAAGATGGTAGTGATGATGGTAGAGGGGGGTGGGTTGTATGGTGGTAAAGGGGCCTTCTTTGTGATTCACGATTCTACCAACTCCTCCAATGTTGTTGGAGTTATATAGGGCTACAGAAAACACTGCTGCCTCAGCTGCTCCTCCACCACCATTATGGACGGCTTACTCTCAGTGGCCCTTATACACCCAACAACAACAACACAACACCTCTAGTGACTAATAACTTATTTTATTCATTCTAGAGTATATTTCATGTTTCTATGTTATTAATATTGTTTATTATGTCATATTAGTTGAATTGTGATAGATAAATAAGCTGTAGAGTTGATATTAGTGTCATATTCTCCAACAATAAGCTTCCCTTCCCTCCCTCTGCCATACACCAACAAAAGTCTTTAATAAAAGGTAAGTGTAATGTTAAATGTCTATTTATACATTTTATTAGTGCTTTACATTTATTTGGCATTCTTTTCTGCAAGTAAATCTATATTTAAGCTAGGGAAGTGACCCCTGAAGTGACCTAGAGTCCTTCTGGAGGGGGATTCTCCTTCCAAACAATAACCTCTCTTCCCTTTCTCTTCCTCCCGGTCTTCTATTCATCAACAACAGCCTTCAATAATGGTAACTGTCATGTTGAATGTTCATTCTTCTGTTCATGTAAATCTATCTTTAAGGTAAAAAAAAAAATTATTGTTGATACTTCTGGGTGTCTGGAACGAATTAATTGGATTTACATTATTTCTTATGGGGAAAATGGATTCGAAAATCATCAATTTCGATAACAGTCACACTTCCAGGAATGGATTAATTACAAAAAACGAGGGACCACTGTATTATATTCAAGAGCAAGTGCTAAACCAGTATGGGTCATACAGCACCTGGAAAATGTGAGGGGTTAAGGGTTACAAATATGTTTTGCGTGTGTTGATCCCCGGTACTGGTGAGTGATAAAGCTTCGGATCCTTGTTACTTTATTTGGGTTCTTGTACACAGGTAGTTTGTTTGAGTGCCCTGGGGCCCAACCTGCTGGGCCCCACTGCAAGGGAGACAGGAGTGACTTGTTGTCTCTAGGATGCATGGGCAACAAGTGAGGCAGAAGCAAGGAACAGGGCACAAAACACAAAATAAAAGCATATATACATGTGGACAGAGCAACAACAACAAAAAAAAACTTCCTACAGGGAGGGAAGAAAAAAAGAGAAGGTGTGCTAAAACATCTTGGTCAAAGGCAATGAGACTTGGAGGCATCACTGCATGTCTTCCTGCATCTGGATATATACTGCAACACATGGAGACATTGCTGCAGCTGAGCTATGAAGTATCAGGGTACGGTCTCATCTGGAACAGTGAAGCAGTCATCATGGAGTAATTGCTGCAGGGTTCACTCAACCTGGGGCACAACCTGCTGGTGCCCTTGAGTGAGGTGTTGTCAGTACTCGGCAACTGGGCAGGACTTCATCTGGAAAGTGACTCATCTCTCGACTGGTACTGTTGCTGGGCAGTCACTGCAGGGAACACAGTGCAGCACAGCTTACTGGTGCCAGTGAGAGTCATAGCAGGATGACTCAGGTGCATCATCTGGGAGTCATAGCAGCTTACACCTAACTGGAACGAGTGGGCTAGCAGTCAAAGTGAAATCATACCTTGTGCAGACTGCTCACTGAAGAGGAAGGCTGCGGCTTGATGACGTCATCCTCTCGATCAGAGTGGAAGTCAGACCAGAAGTCACATTGAGGTCACATGGGGGCTTGGCACTTGTAACCTGATGCTTGGACTGACTAACGTCAGTCATCAAACGATCACAACAGGGTAACGTAACACAAGTGTTAATAATCTGCGCTCAAACCAATCATTCATCAGGGACACATGTAATGCACACCCGCACTGCACACCTGGTAATACAACAACACATGGTTTGCACTAGAAAATGCTTTTCTTTGCAAAAATTGACACTGAGGCATTTGTGAATGTGGGAGAACACTAGTAAAGGAACAATGAGAGGAATTAATATGTGGCACGTATCTTCTCTCAATCGTTCTTGACAATACTGAATATGAACTGCTCACTATGAAACTATAACACTGTCGATGGGACATCATGGGGTGATGTCAGGTGTGACATCGTGAGGTGATGTCATGGGGAGACATCATGAGGTAATGTCAGGGTGATGTTGGGCAGACATCATGAGGTGACATCAGGCAGACATCCAAGTTTACATCGCGAGGTGACGTCAGACAGACGTCCTGGAGTGACATCGGGTGACAGGCAGACGTCCTGGAGTGATGCCGGGTGATGTCAGGCAGATGTCCCGGAGTGACGTTGGGTAGACGTCCTAGGTGATGTTGGGCAGCATGGTGACATCCTGGAGTGACACTGGGCAGCATGGTGACATCCTGGAGTAACGTCGGGCAACATGGTGATGTCTCAAGGTAGCATCAAGCAGCTTGGTAAACCATGTGGCTTGCTCGACATGGCTTGCAGATCTATGTGGCTTGTAGATCCACATAACTCGGAGATCCATGTGGCCTTTTCCACATGGCTTTGAATGACCTCAGGCACTTGGATACACAGCTCTGGCAATGAATTCACAGAGAATACAGCAGTGAGGGTGTGAGAGCATTGAGTGGTGCTGAAGAGTAGTGTTATGGTAGGAGCGTGGTGGTGTATGGTAAGTGTGGGTGAGGTGAGGATTCCACCATTTCCTCCTCCCTACCCACAAACATGTGGAGAATCAACCACACTGGATGCAGAATACACCACAAAACTCACCTCTGACTTGCTGAAATAGCCATGCTGAACTGAACAACAGCAACGTACAGATGACACTGAGCACGTGACTGACAAACAACATGGGTCGCTGTGGAGTCGCAAGGGGATGCCGCTAAGATTTCTTGAAGAAATTCAGCAGATTTCGGCCTGGATCCTGCTTGTACCTGTGTCTGGCTGCTGAGACTTGCAGACACAATATCAGGATATGTTGAGAAATGGATGCTGCATGTACTGGCTGATGAAGTAGACAGCATCATCATCTTCCTCCCTCTCTCTGGGCAAACAGCTGCTGCAACTGCCACTTGCCACCAATATTACAAATATCTTTCATGTGTGTTGATCTCTGGTACTGGTGAATGATAAGGCTTCAGAGCCTTGTTACTTTATTTGGGTTCTTGTACACAGGCAGTGTGTTTAAGTGTCTTGGGACCCAACCTGCTGGGCCCTACTGCAAGGGAGAGAGGAGTGACTTCTGGTTATCTCCAAGATGCCTGGGTACCAAGTGAGGCAGAAGAAAGGTGATGTAGTGTGAGCTGTGGGTAGGCCCATGCAGTTACTCTCTCTAGCGGAGACTATCAGAACTAAGCATGTAGGCTTACTGTCTACATATATGATCAAAGAAGGCAAGGAGTAACTCTAATTTCTCGGATTAAGAGCCCATTACCAGCATCAAGGCAACCTCCTTAGAAGGAATTCTCTAATGAGTGAGCTTCAAGTGTTGCAGAAGTTGAGATTTTTTAGAAAAATCTTTTAGACATTCAGAACACTTGTATGGTTTATTTTGTGTATGAACTGTCATGTGCTTTTTTTAGGGATGATCTCCATGAAAAGTGTTTTAGACATTCAGAACACTTATACGGTTTTTCTAGTGAATGAACTCTCATGTGTCGAATTAGGGTTGATCTCCGTGAAAAGTGGTTTAGACATTCAGAACACTGATATGGCTTTTCTTGTGAATGAACTCTCATGTGCTGAATAAGGTATGATCTCCGTGAAAAGTGTTTTAGACATTCAGAACACTGATATGGCTTTTCTTGTGAATGAGCTCTCATGTGTTCTGTAAGGTGTGATCTCCGTGAAAAGTGTTTTAGACATTCAGAACACTGATGTGGTTTTTCTTGTGAATGAACTCTCATGTGTTGTACTAGATCTGATCTCCGTGAAAAGTGTTTTAGACAGTGAGAACACTGAAATGGTTTTTCTTGTGAATGACCTCTCATGTGTTCTATTAGATGTGATTTACGTGAAAAATCTTTTAGACATTCAGAACAGTGATATAGTTTTTCTTGTGAATGAACTATCATGTGTTGTATTAGGTGTGATCTCTGTGAAAAGTGTTTCAGACATTCAGAACACTGATATGGTTTCTCTTGTGAATGAACTCTTAGGTGTCGTATTAGGTATGATCTCCGTGAAAAGTGTTTTAGACATTCAGAACACTGATATGGTTTTTCTTGTGAATGAACTCTCATGTGTTGTATTAGGTATGATCTCTGTGAAAAGTGTTTCAGACATTCAGAACAATAATATGTTTTTTCTAGTGAATGAACTCTCATGTGTTCTATTAGATGTGAATTACATGGAAAATCCTTTAAACATTCAGAACACTGATATGTTAGCTCCCTTGAAGGAACTCGGATGTACTGCATCTTGCTGTGAAAATTTTATATCTGAAGTAATACAGATGATATAATATCCTGGTCACAGTCAATGTTGGTAATAAAGTAATACAGATGATATAATATCCTACATACAGTCAAGAAAAAAAATTACTACATATTAAAATCGGCAACATAAGATAACACAGACAACTGAATATGTTATTACTTCAACCTAATGTTTAGAAAGATAACAGATTTTTTTTTAAAGTAATACAGCTGTACCTTGACTTACGAGTTTAATTCGTTCCATGACCAAGCCTGTAACTCAATTTGCTCATATATCAAATCAATTTTCCTCACTGAAATTAATTAAAATGCCATTAATCTGTTCCAGAACCCAAAAAAAAAACCACCCCAGGACCAGGAGAAAATACTTTAATACAACACTAATATCTATGGCTTATTTATCTTTCAGAATTGATCTAATATGACATAATAAACACTGTAAGTGACACAGAAACATGATATATACTCCAGAATGAATAAAATAGGCCATAATATGGCGAGTGTCCAGGACCAGTCCGAGCATATAAAATCATTACTGCTCCTTCCTATGTGTTCTTTGGTCCTGGGTAAGAGAAAACAGAGTTTTTGAGAGGCTAACTGCACTAGATCACTAGTGAAGTGATGTATGAATATCTCAGAAATAAGTTATTGACTTATTTCATGAAGCCCATCATTTATTATTGAAGTAAATGCAATAATATTGACAGGAATCATAAAAAAAGATTATTCTACAATTAGCTTGTGGAATATTGGAAATGTTCCACATATTTTGGGACTTGTGTGGGAGTAAAGGGCAAGATATTTTGCATTTGTCAAAAACTTAGCAACTTTATTTTTTTGTAGAATAACCGAAGATAATTAGATGATTACCTCCAGTGAGAACATCGCACTAGCATTTCGTTGTGCCATTTAGGTCGGGGTTCTTGCCAAATGTCATTTTCAGTAAAATTTTTTTTTTTCAGTAAATATTTTTTTTCGCTCGCAACTCGGATTTTGGTTTGTAACTCAAAGCAAAAAATCGACTGAGTGACGGCTCGTAACTCGGAAAAATCATAAGTTGGAGCACTTTAAGTCAAGGTACCACTGTATAGTTAAATATTAGTAGAGAATAAATCCTAACTTTTTTAAGACTCAATACTTCATTCTTATAATAAATCAACTAAACATTTATATAATAAGCTAATTAACTTTATAATGGTAATAAACTTTATGGATGTTGATAATACATGTACAGTATTATATTAGTATAAGAACAATACTATTTCAGTATGTAATGTTATATCCAGCAGATGCTGAGTATGGATGTAAAAGTCAAAATAATGATGTGATCTGCCTGATACAAATGAAGATATTTACAATGTATTCATGATAATGTGGTCAACATTGCTTACACTATTTCTGTCACTTATATCACTTGTAAGCAATGTAAACATAATTCTTCTGTTGAGTTGTTGACCTGTAATAGGAGACAACACATTAGTCAGGAACTGAAGTACATGTATTAAATTTTTATGTATGTTGATATACAACCAAATGTCTAGATATTTTATGTTTTTTCTTATTAACCTTTTCACTGTTGAGACATCAAAAATAAGTGCTCACAATATCAGCATTATTAAAAAAAATCTTCTGAAATGGTAGTGAATCTTTTTCCAAAAGTAATGACACCAAAAATGCGAAATATGATGGAACACTTATGTTATTACAATGGCACAAAGACAGCTGTCTGGGAGCAATTTACACAGCAATTTTACCTTATTTCAGTCCTGTTATGAGCCAATTCCTCTAGTCAGTTCAACGAAATTATTTGCTATTTCACCAAAATTCCTCTTGATCTAACAACTGAGCACAAGAAACCACACATTTAACTAAAAAAACTACTCTATTAAATGCACAGACATTGGTAATTTGGCCAATTCACAAAAATAAATTAAGAAAACCCACTTTAACTCATACGGGGCCAGTGTTACTGTACTATGGGTTTGAAGCCAGGGTCGGTCGTGTAATTCTACGCCATGAGCTCAGCTCACTCATCAGCTGTGAGTGGTAAATTTGCGCCTAGATATGATAGAATGGTTCTATGCAGTAAGTGTGCATCATATAAAAAAATCCTATGGCAAGCAGTGCATAATGAAAAAACTGCAACAGTGTTTTTGGTTTAAAACAGCAACTTTGCAGTGTATTTTTGCATGATTTTTATGGTTGTATTTTCAGTTTCTTGGTCTCATTTGACAGAACAAAAGATATGTAATAGAAATAAAGATGATTTTTGGTTGGTTTGAAGACTGAAAGTAGCTTGAATTCAGTTCACAGTAGCGGAAATGTTCGATTTTTGTCGATATACCAGAGTACACCTGGCCACTGACACTATACAATTATTACAAAAATGCAGTAGTCTGCATAACAGTAAATCTTCATTTTTTTGAGTGAATAAAAATTTAAAATGGAAAGCAAGTGCAATATAAGAGAGGCCTGGAGACATAACTAATGAATGGAGGAAATGCTTTTTTTTTACTGTCAGGAATGTCTACATTGTGAATGTTGCAACAAGGAGAAGGCTGGAGGCAGTGGAGATGTCATGTCTGAGGGCAATGTGTGGTGTGAACATAATGCAGAGAATTCGTAGTTTGGAAATTAGGAGGAGGAGCGAGATTATCAAAACTATTATGCAGAGGGCTGAGGAGGGGTTGCTGTTGAGGTGGTTTGGACATGTAGAGAGGATGGAACTAAATAGAATGACTTCAAGAGTGTATAAATTGGTAGTGGAGGGAAGGCAGGGTAGAGGTCGGCCTAGGAAAGGTTGGAGGGAGGGGGTAAAGGAGGTTTTGTGTGAGAGGAGCCTGCACTTCCAGCAAGCGTGCGTGAGAGTCTTAGATAGGAGTGAATGGAGGCAAATGGTTTTTAGGACTTGATGTGCTGTTGGAGTGTGAACAAGGTAACATTTATGAGGGATTCAGGGAAGCCGGCAGGCCGGACTTGAGTCCTGGAGATGGGAAGTAGAGTGTCTCCATTTTGAAGGGAGGGGTGTTAATGTAAGTGTGCCTCTAGCAAGACAGTGATGGAGTGAATGATGGTGAAAGTTTTTCTTTTACGGGCCACCCTCCCTTGGTGGGAAATGGCCGATGTGTTATTAATAAAATAAATTATTTTTTTAAATTAGCAATATTTAAATTAGCAAATTACCTCAAGACACTACTAAAGTCACTTTCAGAATTCACAATGAGGCAGCCATTAATAACCTCACAGCAGCAGTGACAAACATTGACTGGCACACTGAGCTAGAAATCTATACAGATATTGACGAATGTATTAATAATTTTCTAAAAAAGACCCAATACCTCTATAACAAGCACTGCCCCCAAAAAACTAAACAGATGACAGCTAAGAGACTGAACAGTCCCTGGCTAACACCCAGCATCCTCAAATCCATAAATACAAAGCACCTATATGAAAAACAGTACAGAATGGGTCACATAACCAGAGACCAAACAAAACGTTACTCGTCAATCCTAACCAGACTGATAAGAAGGGCTAAAAAATTGTATTATGAAAACAGATTATCCAACTTACGAGGTGACATAAAAAAGACCTGGAAAACCCTATCAGAAATTCTAGGAACAAAAAAGATATCATGAAATAGCGAAATTGAATTAACAAAACCAGATGAACCCCAACTCCCACCAACTGAAACAGCAAACAGACTCAGTAATTTCTTCTCCACTATAGGAAAAAACCTTGCCAATAAAATCCCAAGCTCAGATACCCCACCAAATGACTACCTCACTGGCAATTACTCGAACACACTGCTCCTAGCTCCAACTAACCCTACTGAAGTCTCCCTTATTATCAACACACTAAAAAACAAGACAGGAGATTTAAATACCTTACTACCCTTTATATACAAAAAAGTGTCACAAGTGCTATCACCAATCATTGCAACACTCTTTAACAAATCCATAGAATCCTCTACCTTCCCTACAGTTCTCAAAATAGCAAAGGTCACCCCGATCCATAAAGGAGAAGACCAAACAGACTTGAATAACTATAGGCCAATATCCAATTTACACCCTCTCTCTAAAATCTTCGAAAAATTAATTCATAAGCGAATCTATTCCTACCTCATCTCCCACAACATACTCAACCCCTGCCAATTTGGGTTCAGGCCTAATAAAAATACTATCGATGCTATTATACACATGCTAGAGCATATATACACTGCAATAGAGAAAAAAGAAGTCCCACTGGGGATCTTCATTGACTTACGTAAAGCTTTTGATACAGTTGACCATGACTTGCTCCATATAAAATTGTCGCACTATGGTATAAGAGGGCACTCCCTCAACTACCTAAAGTCTTACCTCAGCAACAGAAGCCAATATGTGTACACAAATGGGGCAAACTCTTCCGCACAGCCAATTACAGTTGGTGTCCCACAGGGAAGTGTCCTCGGCTATTGGGTGGCCCGGTGGCCTGGTGGCTAAAGCTCCCGCTTCACACACGGAGGGCCCGGGTTCGATTCCCGGCGGGTGGAAAAATTTCGACACGTTTCCTTACACCTGTTGTCCTGTTCACCTAGCAGCAAATAGGTACCTGGGTGTTAGTCGACTGGTGTGGGTCTCATCCTGGGGGACAAGATTAAGGACCCCAATGGAAATAAGTTAGACAGTCCTCGATGACGCACTGACTTTCTTGGGTTATCCTGGGTGGCTAACCCTCCGGGGTTAAAAATCCGAACGAAATCTCTTCTCTTTCTCATATACATAAATGACCTACCAAATGCATCACAACTACTCAAACCCACACTATTTGCAGATGACACTACATACGTCTTCTCTCACCCGAGCCCAGTCACGCTAGCCAATACTGTTAATACCGAATTACAGAAAATATCTACCAGGATGAGGACTAACAAACTTACTCTAAACATTGACAAAACCTACTACATTCAGTTTGGTAACAGAGCTACAGACGTCCCTCTTAACATAATGATTAATGGATCAACGATCACAAAACTCACAGAGGGAAAATTCTTGGGAATCCACCTTGATAATAGACTCAAATTTCAAACACATATACAACAAATTTCCAAAAAAATTTCCAAGATACGGTACCATGTTCCACAGTCAGCCCTCCTGGCCCTATTATCACTCATTTATTTACCCCTATCTCACCTATGGAATTTGTGCATGGGGCTCAACAACAATAAACCATCTCAGACCATTAATTACCCAACAAAAGGCTGCAGTCAGAATGATAACAAATTCCCACTACAGACAGCACACTCCACCAATATTCAAAACTCTAAACCTACTCACCATACAAAACATCCATACTTATTACTGCACCTACTACATACATAGAACACTTAACTCTGATATAAACCCTCCCCTCAAACATCTCCTTACCAACATCAACAGAACACATGACTGTAACACAAGGCACAGACCACTCTTTGATGTTCCTCGTGTCCATCTCACGCTATGCAAAAACTCAATGCACATAAAAGGCCCTAAAATCTGTAATTCATTACCTGTGAATATAAAAGAAACTGTCTGTTTATAAATTCAAATCTCTTCTCAAAAATCACTTACTCACCCACAACTAAATAAATACTGAATAATTGTATCATATAAATTGTATCTCATAAATGTTTCTCATTATTGTATCTCATAAATGTCTAACCTGCGACCCAATCAAACTTTGTTATTTTTTTAATTACATTACCTAACAGAATACTCCATTCTAATGAATGCATAGCAACACAGTAAATGACCATATGACCTGTCTTTGTAATACTCATTTGTGCTAAATTGTCATCTGTTTAAAATAATGTTTTTACCACTGAATACATCATTGCTTAGTTAATCTTAAGTTAATTTTAAGCCTGCCCATAATGCTCTGCATACAAGGGGCTTTGGCATGCTGCACTTTAATAACTGTATTCCTTTGTACTTCCCTGTATCATGTTCAAATAAATAAATAAATAAATAAATAAATGTGAAATTGGCCAAATTACCAATTTCTGATCATTTTATTGGGTAGTTGAAACAGGTTAATGGGCAGTTTTTTGAACTAAATTGATAGAAGAAATACTAGTAAAACAGATCTGGGTTTCATCAACTGGAAAAATGGAACTGTTAAAAAATAGAAGTCAAAGTGGGCAAAATCTCCCATGTATAATGATACCCAAATAGTGAAAATATCTCAAAAATTTAATAAATAAAATAAAAGTTGAGAGAGAGGCTTGAAGGGCTGACAACTGTTGATCTATCATCATACATAATATAGCAAGTGATGAAGGTATTGATGTGTAGTGATATAGTGATCTTAAAATGTGGATTATAACAATCTTGCAGTCAATCACCAGTGCAAAGTGTATCATATATATGGTGTAATATATGGGAGTAAATACGGTTGAGTGGCACTAGCGGATTATTGCCAGAAGATGACAGAGAA